ATGCCTTCCAAAATTTACCCCGGAACTTAAATCCGTTAAAACTCCCCCATGAAAGAAAAGCAACATGCGGGCGAAGGCCGGGGCCGAATTTTTGGAGCCCACATCTTCAAAATCTTCTTCAATTACAACATTTTTTCTGACTCTATATATCAATTAATAATATATTCAATATAATCTAAAGCTAATTAACAAATTAATAACATAACAAAACAATTCCTTATATTCAGCTCAATGAGAATATTATGCCACAGGATCCACCTAAACCTAAGAAGATTGTTAATGCTACTTTAGACTATAATGTCTTGGTCCATCTCTGCAAGTTGTCTGCATTGCTAAGCATTTATGATGCTCTCATTATGTCTAAGGACCTTCAAGAGATGCTTATTAAAGCTTTGCAAAATGCAGAACAATATGAGGCATTCTTCGTAGACAAGGTATGAAGGAGACCTTGTACGCTCAGAATCCTCCTAAAATCACCTTTAATGATGACGATCTGCTCTTGGGAATGGCAGATCACAATCGATTGCTTCATATTACTGCGGAAAGTAACAAAACTCAAATGAACAGAATTCTAATTGATCCAAATTCCTCTGTTAATCTAATTAGCCTCAAAACCCTCAAAGGGTTAGCTCTGGATGTCCAATATTTGAACAAAAGTATAGTATTTCTGCAAAGATTCTATGAACAAGGATTAAGAATCTTGAGATTCTTGGTCTTAACTCTAAGTTTTGGGGAACTCTACACAGAGGCAAGATTTCATATAATTGATTCTAACATTTCTTTTGAGGCACTCCTCGAAAGATCGTGGCTGCATGAATATGGAATCGTGCCTTCAATATTGCACCAATGCATGAAAAGATAATCGAGATGGGGAAGAACATCGAATAGATGGTGATGAACAACCATTCTAGGTGCATGAAATTAAAATTTATGACGATACCAAGTATTTTATAACACAAAAGCCAATGATCGAGGATCTTCCAAAAAATTAAATTGCCATACTCGATAAAATAAAGCCAAAAGATTAAGGCAAGAGCAAATTGAAACAAATTATCTCGGTGCCTCATCTTGACAGTAATATTGAAGAAGAAGAAGATTTCTTTGAATTCTATAAGCATGTGATCAAGAGGAAAGGAGAAGTGAACAATCATATATTCCTTTTGATTACTAAGCTAATCAGGCAAATAAGGTACGATGCAGCTCTTCAATTAATCTGAGAAATGAGGAAGAAGAAAAATTCCTCTATCAACCTAGAAGCAATACGAAGCCGCATAATGAAGAGGATTTGGGGACCAACCCTAACTAGGAAGTAAAACAAAGTGTCAATTTTGATTATAAGGATATATGAAAGTTAGACGTCCACAAACATCATCAAAATAGTGCTCATGCCAATGGCACATTTTAAAACTTTGATTCCTCTTTGAGCACAAATGTAGAAATGTTAAAAGCATTGAATGGGGTAATGAGCGTGGAATCTTAGAAAGGCTATATTAAGTCATATTTCCCACAAAATAGAATGTGAATGGGGCGAAGAAAATCAGTGGATAATTGTCCCTCGATATCCCGCACCCCTTATGTAAAAGTTTATTAAGAAAAATATCTTCTTCGTACTGTCACGACCCGGCCCGGCTAGCCCGATTATATCGGGGCGGGAACAGACGATCGTACGGAAGAGCATAATTACATAACAAAATTTTATTTAAAACTTAAGGTTAGAACATACATATCATCCCAAAATACATGAAAGAGCCACTAATAAACTTCAAACTGAATTGTTATAAAGTGATCAACTGTCTCATAACCAATAAAACTTTCTAATTCATCATCACAACATAAACTAAAATTAATTTCGTTGCATTCCGATAACCTTGAAAATCTCACTTAAATTCTCGTCGCGGCGCTTTAAAAAACGTGCTAAGCCTAAAATAAGATTTTCGGGTTTTACACGTACAAACAAACAAACGAGTTCGTTATTTCAGGAATCTCTGGTATAATAAACATATGCAGAGGTCTATTAGAAATGGTTTATATACGACATGAGGTCTTGGATATGCTCGGCGTTCATATCTTGAGTATGCCCATCATTCATATCTCAAGTACGCAACATCCTACAATATTACAGATAAGGATGAAGAGGCACCTGAGTTCGAAATACAAGTTGAAGATCTAATCATGGATTTGAAAGAAGCCCCAAGAGAATATGAAGAGGTGGCACTATAGATGAACTCAAAGAGGTGAGTTTGGGTACTAAAGAATATCCAAAATCAACATTTCTCAATTTAAATCTTCCATATGATAAAGTAGAAGAACTAAAAATGTTACTTCTCGAATGTAAAGATTGTTTCGCATGGAACTACATCGAGATGTCTGGTTTATCACCAGAGATGGCAGTGCACAAGCTCTCCATCAATACTAAAATGTCGCCTGTCAAGCAAGCACCTAGGCAAATGCGACTTAAGATTGAAGAACAAGTCGTTGCTAAGTCAAAAAAACTCATACAAGCCGCTTCATTTGGGAAGAAAAATATGCTGACTGGATCACTAACATTGTCCTAGTAAGGAAAAAGAATGGTCAAGTCCATGTTTGGATTGATTACCGAGATTTGAACTAGGAATGCCCAAAAGACAATTTTCCATTGCCTAATGTAGAGTTTATGGTTGATAATACATTGAACCATGACATGTTCTTATTCATGGATAGATCTTTCGACTACAATCAAATGAAAATGGATCCCAAAGATGAAATGCACACTTCGTTCCGAACTCCTATTGGTATACAATGTTACAAGGTTATGCCGTTCGGTTTGAAAAATGCTGGGGCTGCCTATCATAAGGCGATGACTCGAATCTTTGATGATTTGATTCTCAAACATTTTGAATGTTATGTTGATGATCTAGTTGTAAAAAGTAGAGTTCAACATGAACATATAAATGATCTCAAAATTGTATTTGAAAGAATTCACAAATTTAATTTGAAAATGAGTCCACTTAAATGTGCTTTTGGTGTTTCATCCGAAAGAAATAATTGGACTGTAGTAAGATAGATACTAAGATACATAAAGGGCTCTTTAAATCTTGGAATACTTTATGATCGTGGAGGTAAGACTGCTGAAGTTCTTTCAGGTTTCACATATTCAAATTTTGTTGGATGCTTAGATACTAGAAGATCAATTTCTGGATACATATTTATAGTATGGTAGAATAGTTAGCTGGAAATCATCTTTTCAACACTTAGTTGCATTGCCCACAATTGAGGCCGAGTTTATGGCTGCCACCGAGGCAATCAATGAAGGTCTTTGGCTGCAAGGTCTTCTAAAGGAACTTTGTTTCCCGCTAGGAACATTTACATTATATTGTAATAATCAAAGTGACATTCATCTCATGAAAAATTCTGCTTTTCCTGAAAGATCCAATCATATTGATGTGAAGCTTCATTTTTCATCAGAGATGCCATTGCTAATGATAATGTTGTTGAAAAGATAGTATCTAAACTAGATAATGCAGATGCAATGACTAAGAGTTTGCCAATTGCTAAATTTAATTTTTGTTTGAAATCTGCCAATTGTTGCATCATTGAATATTATATAAACAAAGATCAAGGTGGAGATTGTTAACTTGTGATCTTCATTTAGATTCAACAATCTGATTCTTAAGGGAATTGTCATATGTCTCAGTTTGTTCTCGTTATTTGCGAGTTTACTGATTGTTTGTAATTATGTTTTCTGGCTTATACTAGGAGCCAGGAATCTAACATGTTAGAGAAGTCAGTTTTCTGTTAATATGCATTACTAGCTTATAAAAGAAGCCAGAGACCAATGTTATGTTTTTTGGTGGGCTTATGCAAATTTTCTTAGCTGATATGATAAAATGCATATATAGGTCTGTGTAATGTGCTATTAGCCTATTAGGGGCATCTTAGAAAGCTGAGTAGATCAAAGGGATCAAAGAGAGAGAAAAAATTGTGCAAGGGTTTTTCAAGAAATAAAATTTTCTTTTCCTCTTGCTTCTGCATTTGTAGTTATTAGCCGTGCTTGTGCTCTGTTAACAGATGGTTCTGATTGATTCATTGAATCAAGAAGCTGCATTTGCAGATTGTTATCACAACACAGATTGTTATTTCAACCACTAAATTACTATCCTTTAGCCTTTAAAAACTAAGCTTAAGCTTTAATAAAAAAAAAGATTAACTATGTGATGCAAATAGCAAGTGTGTTTTAGAATATAAGGTGAGTTGATTCTTATTTGGAAAATTCCATGTAAACTCCATTAAATATATAGCCCGAAGAGAAATCCCATGTAATATATAGGTTATCATTTTTTTTTTATGCACAATTATTAATCTCAAACAATGCAATCAATGGATGGAAATCAAATAAAGCAATGGGTTATATCATACAATCTGACATTTATCTATGATTATAAAGTTATTTTTCCCTTAAATTTAAAGTTCTAATTGTTGACCGAATAAGCCGATGTGTTATAGTGCTAATTGTTATTGGTTTGATGATAATAATTATTGTATGTTTAAATTTTTTTTATTTATAATTCAATTAAAGGGAAATCATATAGATGATGATGGTGTCCATTGGACTAGCTTGGAGCACCTACTATTTGGAGGAGTGCTTAACATATTCAGTTCAAATGATTTAAGTGCAAGATCCTGATTCCAGTGTTAATTAGTTTAGTGAGTATGTTTAGAATATTATTCATTGTTAACTATCGAATAGGATTTACTAAGGTCTCAAGGATGATGAAGATAACCCTAAAAAGAACTTGATTTTTGTTAAAATTTATCTAAGTTTAATATGCTAACTCTGCTGTTGCAAATTTGACTTTGTTGTTAAAGCGTATTTTTCTTATCATCAACCCTGAAGGATATTCGATCTTGGATATTATAATTTCTTTCTTTAGTCTGGCTCAGTTAAAAAAAAAAGGGGGGTTTTGCGGAAAGTTCTTTAGTTTTGTGTGATGCTTAAGTGGTTCAATCTAAATATTTTGCAGAATCTTCTTCACGTTAAGGAGGAGAAGGTTCCCAATAATTTTGGAGGCATTAGATATCTAGGATTCGAAAGGCTTACATTTGTGCCAATCCAGGTATTCTCAGCATATTTCTTTATTTTGCATTTCCACCGTTTGCAGTTACCTGGTTTATGCTAATTAAACTGCTTAAACGTTATGAACTAATTTAGGATGGTTTTTCATTTCTTTTTCTAGATGGATTTGAGAAGAGCTTATATATTTAATAGGTTTTCTAACTATGAAGACAATGCCTCTTAGATCTAATTTTGATTTTTTAGTAAATATTTGATTAAATCAATTCGTGCAAGGGAAAGCAATTTATAAGTTGTGCATTCATCCAGAACGATTACCATGTTATTTCAAATCATTAGATTGACACATTTTGGTTGGCATAGCTTTGCAGGAATGTTCAAATCATTTTTATCGCCTTTTCAATTTCAATACAATAATCATTGTTTTTTTGGCACAGCTTTAGCAGTTGTAATCATACACGAATGATTTGCTGTTATGATCATTTAGCGTTAATATTACCGGACTTCCCAAATTCTAATATATATTTAATTAAGCTTATCAATCATTTTATTTAGACAAAATTAAGCTTTAATAATATTTTACATCTCAGATATAATTTCTATATAACTATTGTCCAAATTACTTCCTTTCTAAAATTTAGAGTTTATAAAAAAAAAATCATTCTGAATTAGAACTCTACCCTTGTTGCATCTTTCTCTAATTTGGCTAGATCTCACACGACATATCACTTGTTCGTTCTGTTTCTCTCTCCTTACTCCATATCACAATTTTATAAGGCCAGAATGAAACACGAATCCTTCAATGTCTCCCCTTCTATATCTCATAATTAAAAGAATGAAACCCAACCCTTAGGCCTCCCTCTCTTTTGCTCTCGCAATGTTTGTCGCTCATACCAGTTTTTTGCCACCACTTGACCTGAAGATCGTGAACAATCCTACTTCCCCTGCTCAGTTGCTTATAGGCAAGGTTTAAAATTGCGCAATTGAGTATTGAGACATTTTTTGTTCGTGAGATGAGGCATAAGCCTTAAGGCGTTTTGAGGTATAAGACTCAAAATCTAAAAATTGCGTAAAGTCAAAATAAAAGTTAAAATTGTTTTTTATATAATATCCAAATAATATGTTAAAAAATGACATATTAACTTTTTATTGAACTCAGAAGTAACAAATTTACATATATATATGAAACAAAAAATTGTATAAGATATAAAGTGTTAAGTAACAAATTATGTGAAATAGAATTAAAATCAAAATATTAGAGGAACAAAATAACATAAAATATATGAATTGTATTAAAGTGTCATATAACATCAAGTTTAACTTTAAATTTTTCTTTCTCAATTGTCTACTCATCTACATTTAATTCCTAAAAAAAAGCTCAAATAATTGACTGCAACTTAAAATTATATATATATATATATATATATATATATAGAGAGAGAGAGAGAGAGAGAGAGAGAGAGGCGTATGCCTCATGCCAGCGAGGCGAGGCGTGCCTCAATGTGGGCCTCATCCAAGATGAGGCGTAAGCCTCTTAAAAAAAGCTCAAGGCGCCTCAATGTGGGCCTCATCCAAGATGAGGCGTAAGCCTCTTAAAAAAAGCTCAAGGCGTAAGCCTTGAGGCATTTTTTACTTGAATTGTGCGCCTCTAGGCGAGCCTCATATTGTGCATTTTAAACAATGCTTATAGGTTATCTCTCTCCCTCAATGTCATGCTCGCTCAATTGTCGCACACTTCGATCTCCTTTGCTAGCTCTCTCAGTTACCCTCTGCTCCCTTTCCTCATTTCTCACTATTAAGGAGCGAAGCTTTTACATCTTTCACACTTTGGAACCAATACAATCCGTTCGTTGTCTTTTTTGTTCAGGAATATTACACAACTAGCCTCAATTAATTTCATTCATCAATCAATAATAATCAATTATAAGTCATGTTTTATAGAAATAATGTTATAAAGTTAATGCAAAATAATTTAACTTCAAATACAATCCCATATAAAATGAAAATTAAAAATATAATCCATAAGAAGATAAGGGAACATAATAAAATAAATCAAATTAAAAGTAAGGAAAATTCAACCAAAAATAAATATGAGTTTGAAAGCCTTGAAATCTTGTCCGGTTCAGTTCCATTGTAGCTTCATTTGACTCATTTTAGCTTTCATACGAGAAGCTTGTATTTTGCAGGTTAATTTGGTTAAATAATCAGCCAGTTTATACTACTTCAAAAACTTATTTGTCTTTTTATAAATAGCTTGGATGGTAATATGAATGGTTTCCTCTCTAATTAGTCAACAGATTTACATGCGAATATTATATTACTTCTACAGAATTCTGGGAAGTATTTTGATATTACAAATGTTGCTTCTTATACTTGTGTTGAAATCATAAGCTCGTGTTTGAATGAACATTTCTATCTCTAACCAAACACAAGCACTCACGCACAATAAGAACACAAATATCATTTTGAAATAGGTCATGAACTTCCATTAATTGTGCATAAAATTTCACCGAAGATTTGATGACTAGTGAAAAATCACACAAAAATAAGGCGATGTTCATTTTTTTTTAATTAGGGGGATTTGCGTACAAAACTTATAAAACTATTATATTTACATGTCCAATGCCTAAAGCTTATGATTTAATAAACTACTACCCCGTTAACTTTCGTCTCATGGAACTCATTTCTTAGCTTGCTCCTACTAAATCTTGAAATCATTGACAACAAAGAGGTGGGGAAGTTATGATGGGATTATGTTAGGGATAGGGCATCTTTCTTCCTCTTCTCTATTAGTTGTTATTAGAGCTGACATTAGTACACCCTATCCGCTTAACTTTTCTCTCATCATTACCTACTCATCAACTTTTGATGATACATGGAACCCTTCATTGAAGCACTTTTTGTCGTAGATTCATGTACTCATCTTAGCCATTGGTGCATGAATTGCTTATTTGTGAAACTCCGACCATCCACAATAATTAAGCTGTTGATCGCCTGCAATAGCCCATTAATACTAATCTACGACGCCTCCCTTGCAACCCATCACCCTCTAGCCTCTCTCTTGCATGAAACCATAACATACTTGCGTAACAGGCCACCACAATCTACGTTTATAATGATTGCAATATTCCGCCATTGGCACCCTATCCCACGCATTTTCATCATTCTCAAACCATTGCATACTAAAATATGTGCTCCGTTGCAGCGTACCTGGCATTGATCACCTCCTAGAGAATCTAGGGGGGAGAGATTAATAGAGGTGGAGGTAGTAGTCCGGAGCTGTTAATGAAATAAAAATCTGTTTCTAAATTATTAAAAATACCTAAAGTTATTTCTAGTGTTTTTTAAAACAGAACAATTTGTTTTTAAAAATGAAAACTAAAAATAAATAAACAAACATGGTTGTCATCTTGTTAACTTTTTTTAGGATATAACAAACAGAAAAGCTAAAAAAAAAGTGATCCCCAATAGAGCCTAAGTTGTATCTTTTTTAATGGAATCATAAATTGGCTCTGAATCTGATATAAACTGATTTTGAAGAATAGAATGAATTACTTCCATGCATGGATACAAACCACCTATTTAAAATGCAATAAATGCATGGTTAATTATGCTCTCTTCTAATTCAACCCTGCTGAAGGGCATGGATGATCTTGATTTCCGTAGGCTTGGAAATAAATACCTTGAGGATAATATGCAGACTCTAATACGAAAAAAAAAATGGTATGACTTATGCATTACCTAATTGTTGCATATTCCGTATAAATTGGTCAAATTTATGCTGTCAGTAGAAGAGAAATGTTAATGTTCTTGACACCGACTCATAAATATGAGTACCTTTTGTTTGCTGCATCTATCCAAGATTTCTTCTTATTTGCTTTCACTGGAATGGCCATCCACTGCAAGTTCAAAGTCTATTTCTGCAATTATTGTATGATTTAGCATAAAGCATGCAATGAAAATGTGAAAGGTATAGTTCTTTTTTTTTGTTGTGGAACTCCCGCTTTATAAATGAAATTGAGACAACTAATTACCATGTATACTTTAGATCTTATCTTAGAGCATCAGATTTTTCCGCGCTTGACTTTTTAGAAAATTATAAAGCAAGAAAAATTTAACAGCAAATGGAAACTCCAAGGATAAATCAAAGCTTAGGGTGCCTTTGAGTGAGTTGCCTTTCCTACTTTGAATTATATGGATCAAAATAATACAATTTCTAACTTCTCACCTTCAATATCTTTGTTTATTTAAATATTCTGTCTACTTTTTTTATCCTATTACTTGATTTTTTTTTTTTAGTTACATTGGTACCATTTTTGTTCTCTTTGTCAGAGTAAGCTAGTTGATTGCTCATTGCTGTCTTTTGCGGAGACCAAATGGTATAATGAATATCATTCAGAAGTTTGGGAAAAGGTCAGTTCGATACTTTTCAATGAGTGATATCTTATTTATTTTTAGTTCAAAGTGCCCAAAATTTTATTAAAAAGAGTTAGGTTGTTTGATTCATGTACGGTAACTGCAGTCATGTACACTAAATTATATTCCTTTACTTTAGAAAGGCATTTCTTGCAGTGGCTTTTTCAACGTTATACCACAAATTTGGACTTTTCCTTTGGAAAAGGATGCGCTATGTTAAGGTAGGAAAGTTCGGCAATCATCAATCTTCATCTTCGATGGTAGCAACTCCATAAGAAATTCTCATTCATTCATCTAGTTTTTAAGGATGTAAGCACAAAGTTGAACTAAAATCTGCGACATAACAGTAATTTTGGATCCAATGTGATGTTCATCCTACTTTACAAAAGAGAAAATAAGCTAAACCAAAACCAAACTGACTTTAAAGCAATTCTTCATTGGTTCATATGCTAATGTAGTGGAGATAGGGGTGTAAACGAGCGAGTCGAGCTCGAGTCAGGGGGTGTTCGAGCTCGACTCGTAAGCCAAATATCGAGCTTGAACTCGAGCTCGAACTCGAGTCGAGCTCAAAAGTCGAGCTCGAGCTCGACTCGCGATACTGTAACGAGCCATCGAGCTGCTCGTCGAGCCGTTTGTCTAGCTTTCCCGCCCGGCCTTTTGTTTTCCCGCCCAGTTTTACCATGGTATTAGACACCTACTGCATTCAAAAAAAAAAAAAACAGCTATTGCATTGGGAGAAAAAAAAAGCTGCTGCAGCATTTATTATGCTTCTTATTATATTATTTAGATGGCAAAAAAGCTGCCAGCATTTATTACTATTTGTTAGAGTAGACATTTGAGAGAATACTTTTTGAAATTTTTTGAATTTTTATATAAAACTGCCGGTCTTGGTGGAAAAAAACTGACATCAAAGTTTTTTTTTTTTAAATTGGCTCAAAATATTATTTTCGAGCCGGCTCACGAGCTCACGAGCCGAGCCGGCTCAAGCTCGAACTCGAGCTCGTTTACGAAACGAGCTTGAACTCGAGCTCGAGCTCGACTCGTGAGCTCGATAAGCTCGGCTCCCGAGCCTATAAACGAGCCGAGCTCGAGCCGGCTCGGCTCACTTACACCCCTAAGTGGAGAACACCATTGCAACATCACAAATGAGCATCATACTGACACCGCAGAATTTCATTTTTGAATGATGTCAATGTTCCCTCTTAGTGTGGTGAAATAAACCATGCAGCAAACACAAACAAGAAAGTGAAATGTAGTGAAAAGAAAAACACCAGGGTTTAACATAAAAAAATCCGAATCTGGGAAAAAATCACGGAGCCAGATGCACAAAGAAATTCACTATGAAAATTTAGGAGGAATAATGCAGATCTCTTTTCTCTCTATCTCCTTTTGTCACTCTTCACTCTTGCGCCATTCTCTTACAAGAATTAACAAAGAGATACACAATAATACCACCAATGGATGCAACTCTTCATGAAAAATTAGAAAGAAAATTGTCCAGCTCGCCTCGTAGCACTGTGGTGCTAGATTTGGAGCGTCGTTGCGCTCCACTCTTTATCCCCAATCTACTTAACAGCGCCAAAATGCTTTGCTCTCTGTCCCTTGCCTGAGTCGTAGCGCCACAGTGCTATACGATTGCACGACTGTGATGGTGACTGGGTTCAAAGGCTTGGCGAAGATCAGACGAAGGTGTGGAAGGATCGAAAGTCTAGATCGGAGCGTGATGTGGCCGGTTTCAGCACAACAGGTAGGTGGGCTATGGCTTTGACATTGAATTAGAACGGGAGGTTAGGGCTCGGTTTTGGCAGGCGTTCGACAACAGACGAGGAAGATCGAGTTGAGCGACGAGTAGGGCCAGGATCATGAGTTGCTTGCAGTTGGTGGATGAAGATGGTCATCTGTAGGGACTAAGTAGACCAAGGACCACAGAACCATGTGATCTTGATCGAGCTCGCCCACCATCTACTTTAAAGTTCAAGATGGCGAAATTTTCAATTTTAAATATTAAATTCTCACATACCTAAGCACTGATGCTACTTACGTTAGATACCACATATCTGTTTGAAGACTAGCCTTAATCGAAAGTTCTCTCTTGTTATACATAGGAGTAATTAATTATAGGGGATTGCGCCTATAAGAAACCAGAACTCATATCATAAAGTCCTTGCAAAATGAAGGTGAGATCTCTGGGCAGTACCTTATTTAAAATTCAATATGCCTTCTGAAAATTTATCCCGGAACATACTCGTTAAAACTCTCCTCGACGACCTGAAAGAAAGAGGGTCCGTAGAGAGGCCGCAAATTTTTAGAGCCCACAGTAGCGAACATAAACAAGAAAGAGACAATGCGACGAAAAGAAAGAATACAAGGATTTAACGTGAAAAAAATCATGGATCCACACCACACCAAGAAATTTATTATGAAAATTTGAAAGAAATAATACAGATGTCTCTTCTCTCTCACTCTCTCTTTGTCTCTCTTCACTCTTGCACTATTCTCTTTCTCTCATAAAAACTAACAAAGTGATACATGATAATACCACTAAGGGTGTAAGTGAGCCAAGCGGGCTCGAGCTGGACTTGATAACGAGCTTGCGAGATGAGCTTACCGCGCTCGACTTCGAGCTTGATGAGGCTTGGCTCGCATGCTCGCAAGGTGACTCGTAATTTTATAACTAATTAAATTGTTTTCTTAAATAAATCATCAAATAACTTTTTCCTCTAATAAAATTTTCTAGTAATGATAAAAGCAGCAAGCTTTCCCAAAAAAAAAACTTATTTAATTTAAAAAAACTTCATATTCCCAAGAAAAATTATTGCTTTACATTAATAAAGTTGTAGCAATTTTTAAAGTAGTTCTAAAAAAATAATAAAAAATAGCCTCCTCATCTTCTTACTAGGGATCTGCTTAATCGTGAGTTTGAGACACACTGTGACAGCACGCCTTCTTCTCCGGTGGCATGTGTTCTCCTTCTTTGGTGATATCATGTAAGGTTGTGATCTCATGAGCTGCTCACGAGCCGGCTTGAGCTAGACCCGATAACGAGCTTGCGAGCTAATCTTATCGAGCTGGAGTTCGAGCTTGATGAGGCTTGGCTTGGATGCTCACGAGCTGGCTCGTAATTTTACTAATTAAATTTTTTCTTAGACAAATCAGTAAATATTTTTTTTCCTCTAATAAAATTTGCTAGTAATGAAAAAAGTAGCAAGCTATTCCCAAAAAAAATTGCTATTATTTGAAAATATTTTATATTCCCAAGAAAAAAACTGCTTTACATTAATAAAGCTGTAGCAATTTTCAAAGTAATTCTAAAAAAAATTAATAAAAAATAGCTTCCTCTTCTCATCTTCTTACGAGGGATCGGCCAAATCGCGAGCTCGAGACATGCTGTGACGGCATGCCTTCTTCTCTGGCTATATGTGTTCTTCCTCTTCAGTGGTATCATGTAAGGGTGTGATATCACGAGCTGCTCGCGAGCTCGTTTTCAGTGCCACGAGCCGAGCTTGTGCTCGCCTTTCGAGCTTAACTCGAGTTTGAGCTCAGGATTTGGCTGGAGAGTCGAACTCGAGTTAGACATGCCTCGAGATCGACTTGACTCGTTTATACCCCTAAATGCCACAAAGGGATGCAACCTTTATAATAAATGAGAAAGAAAACTGTCCAGCCAGCCTTCTAGCACTGCGGCGCTCCATTCTCTATCTCCAATCTGCCTAACAGCACCACAGTGCCGGGGTCTGGAGCACCCATCGCTTTGCTTTTTGTCGCTTGCCTGAGTTGTAGCGCCGTGATGCTCAAGCACTCAACATTGTATGGTTGTACGGGGAAAAAAAGTTATACTTGTGCAAAGCACTCGCCAACCTAAGCAAGGGGAGAACCCCTGGGGAGCTCGATTGATGGAGTTGTGGAATTGAGGTCTAAGGTATTAGTACAACTCAATTGATCGACACAATCAGATTCCACACAAAACTATTACTTAGTATCTTCTTGATAGCTATATCATCTTAAATTTGGGCCAATCATGTTAAATATTTCATTATGATGATCTCATTTATTTTTTTTATTTAAGATGCTTTCTTTTAATAAAATTCAAGTTCAATTGGTTCCTTTAAATTGGTTTTTGTTTACTTTCAATCATAGATATTTCACTACGATTTTCAACGGTGAATCTACTTTCATTTCGCTTCTAACTCTTCATTCGTCTTGAAAAGATATGTTTTATTTTTGTACCTCCCTCATTCCAGTCCTTCGGAATTTATTAGTATCATGATCTAGAACATATATTAAATTGAGCATTTTGTAGAGTTAATAACAAGGGAATCAATGAGATTCCTCTCGCCTGCTATTAGGCCCAAAATCACCATTTGAGTGCCAATAATTTGACCTTTTTTTTAAATCAATCTAGAAAACTGAATTTTCTATTTTTCTGCTCGAGTCCACATGAAATGATATGTGCAATTAATGACCCATGAGCCAGTCAAATATGGGAGGCGGTGGTGGGTGCGGTGTGAACTGTAACCCACTTTTCTTTTACTTGGAATGAACAGGTGTTCCCACATAAAACGAGATGTGCAATTCACGATCCATAAGTCACTAATCTAACTTTTTTAGAGGGGACGTTTAAACCACTTTTCTTTTACAGGAACAAGTGTTTGGCTTTAACCTTTTACTGTTTTTTCAAGATGAGTGGAGCTATATTTGAGTGCTTCAGTTCGTAATATATTATGAGGAAAACAGTTTTCATAGAGTTATTCAGCCTAGTTCTAATTTTACTTTTGGGGTTAGACCATCCAATGCATGTTTATTTACAAGCAGAAAGTTTTGTCTTCGCTCCTTCGTTTCCTTGATTCAGGCTGTAGGATTAAGACCATCAGAATATCTAACTTTGACAATCAACAAGTATTCTCAATTGCCTTCAATTTGAAGAGATCTCTTGGCTTATTATATTTTGATATAGAACACAAACATCCATAGAATCAATTTACCTCAAACGCTGGTCTCCTTTTCCATGCTTGAAAGAAAGCGAGAAGCTGAAATTGCATTTCGATGCCACTTATGAGGGGAAGCTGAAATCCTTGGTTATTAACTGACCAGTGAAAACCTAATTCAATTGTTGGGTAGAAAGAATGATGGAAAAGCTATCTTTCTTTTCTTTATTTAGAAATCTTTTTAAAAAAACATAAGACGTGAAAGCAAATCTATTTCCGAAAGTCTGCAAAGCAATGGCTTGTATTCAACTTTCAAGCCAAGATCTGCTACTTTACTAAATCACTTGTTTTCCTGGCCTGTTTCATACAAGGTGCAGATGCTCTCACACATGAAAGTGTGCGCACATTCACTTGCTTTTTGCCTGTCTTGTACGAATTGCACATGCCTGCGCTCATTCAAGTGCACAAATATATGCAATGCGCGCACATACATGCATACATAGGCATGTATGAAGAGCGAGGGTTTTTTTTTCCTAGTAGGATAATGACTATTCTCCTCTTCAGGGGCAGATTCAGTCTTAATTTTTAGGGGGGGAGGGGCGCAAATTTATAGAAGCGTAGAGTTTTTTTTTCATAAATATCCTTACAACCAAAATTTGTTTCAAGGGCATTACCTCTTGACTCATATTTATTCATCGGTGTATGCTTCACAAATATGTTGGGGTCTAAGGGGGCAGTGCCCCCGGAACAAATTTTGATTGTAAGCATATTTTTGGATTATCTTTACTATTTCTCTTTGTATTTGGTTCATCGTTCCCTAACAATAATATCTCTAAACAATGTATTTAATTATGTTGGGGCAATTGCCTAAAGACCATAGTATTTTAAAACTTGTAGGGGGCAATTGCCTAAAAACATTGTAATAAATACTAAAAAATACATTGAGGGGGACAAATTACCTAAAGATTTTTTTTTATTTTTTTGGCGCCCGTGGCAATTAAGAGGTTGATCCGCCCATGCTCCTCTTAATTTTATTTTAATTTTCATTTATTGCTTTACATGGTCTTTATCAAGTTCAAACCATTATTTGTGATCTACAATAAGAAATTACCTGTAATTTCAGTAAAATTCATTGTAATAGATCCTTTCATTAAACATATGAATACAATGATGATCATATTACAGAGAGAAGCAGTAATTAAAAATCTAATTTTTGTTTCTCATATTTCTTTTTTTTTTTCACTAAGGGAAGCACCGTATATACCCCGTCTCTTTTTCTCCTGTCCAAAGCCAGCCTCACATCTTAGCACAAATTCTAGAGATATCAATCAAGCTCAAAGCCTAAGACTGAGAACATACCACTTTTTTATATTTTCGTGTAGACCAATTTCAACTGATAACCATATATAATTTTTTTTTTTTTTATCATTTCTGTCTTCGCTTAATGTTTCTGATTCATTATTCTAAAACAAGAGCAGCTACTGAATTTATTTAACGATATTGTTGCTACTCATCAGGTTTCACCTCTAGTGGAAGGAGCTGCTCAAGAATGGCTCTGGAAAAATACTCGGCCCCTCCCCCTTCCACAGCAATAAATGTCCTCATCAGGCAAATCATTTCTTCTGTTATAGTCTGCAAGATAAAAAATATGTTTATAAGAACTGAATGATAACGAAGTCGAGCTAATACGAGCAATTATACAAATATTGTCAGTAACGCTTAGAAATACTGGAAACTATTGTAATATATGCATGAAGACATTTTTCCAGTTTGATAGTGAAGGCTAACAAAGTGGTCTCATTCTCATTAGTTTTAAGTGAGTTCCCTTGCACAGTTCTTTAGATTCAAGGAGAAACGCTATTTAGGCCAATTCGGTCTCACAATATGAGACATTTGATCAAATTTAAAGTGTCAACATGGCATTATCTCTTCTTTTTTTTTTCTTTTTTTTTGAGAAATTAGTGCGAAGCTTAAGACACATACGTGAGACTTGAATTCAGGACCTCTTATTTGGGAGCCAAATTTCTAACCAAAAGAGAGCTGTGCACATGGCATTATCCAAATGGAAGTTATTTTGGGCTCTTAGCCTCAGATTGCCTTCATATAGATAGATGCCTGGAATGTCCAATTTCTAGGTAGTCTTATATTGTCAACTAAGGGTTTGTTTGGGATGTCTTTTTTTAAAATAAAATTATAAAAACATTATAATTCGGTTTGACTAATATATATATATATATATAATGGTTTTAAAATTGTTATTTTTCTTATAACATTTTTTACAATTATTTTTACAAAAAATTTAGTTCTTAAATTAAATGGGATGCTGATTTAATAGAAACTTATTATGATCCGAAATTTGGTGAAGGAACTAGAAATAAATTAATAAATTATTAATTTAGTTAAAAAACTGTCTGTTAAATAGGCGATTAAACTTGTTCCACATGCAGCATGGTGCCTTAGTGGCATATTGGCAATAGTTGCCCGTTTAACTATTGTTTAAGCTTTTTCTTTAAACGATTACCTCTTTCTCTCTCCTGTGCGGGGAATAATTATTAGGTCCGGACACTGGACGTAACTCTTCATCCGGAGGTCAATAATATGTCGCCACGTGCTTTGACTTTTTACCGCACGGCCGGACGACCCGACTCGGACCGGAACCCAGTATTGCTATGTTCGGGTATTGCTAGATATTGCTCGGTATTGCTAGGTATTGCTTAACAATAACGAGAAATACTATATCAAGACCAATATCGAGCAATACCTAGCAATATCTAGCAAAATCGGGGTATTGCTCGGTATTGCTCGATATTGGTCTTGACAGAATGGTATTTCTCGTTATTGTCGAGCAATATCGAGCAATACCAAGCAATGCCCTGGTCTGCACAAATCAGGCGATACATAGCAATCCCGGGCCCGGGTCGGGTCGTCGGGTCATGCGGTAAAGAGTAAGAGCACGTGGCATTATTTTACTGGCGTCCGAGCGTGGAGCAACGTCAAGACATCGGACCTAATAAAAATTCCCTGTGCAGGTGGCTTGGGCGCCTTATGTGTACAATGGGCCTCTTTTAATTTTTTATAACAAATGATATATATATATTTATTTATTTAGCCTCTTCAAATTAGGGGATGGGCATTTGCTCTTCAAACTTTTTAATTTTTATTGTAAAATGCGATCCAGTAGTACCTTCAACTTGTGCTTGAGTACTAATATGAAATATCCTAGTGAGGTTTAGAGAAGCTATTAATGAAGAGTTCCTCAAAAGTATGGATCGAGTCATTTGATAGATTGTTGAACTACTCAAGTGATATATCAATAATGATATTGACAAATTGTTGGTCAAGGAGGGCTTCGTTTCCTTTAATGTGTAAGCCAAGTGTTGCCTAGGTGTTCTAGTCCATCAAATATCTTGGATGATGGATTGACAAATCCTAATGAGTATTGAGTTTGCTTATATTCTACAAGTTATAAACAAATTTATTTATGGTGTCCTCTACTTATTTGGTGTTGAAGGCCTGCTTGATCGTGTGGTTGATTATGTCCTAAAATTGAATCAAGCACAAGGTAGTTGGAGAAATCTCAATACATGTTGAAATTAAAGAAATGAACGAAGTAGGCTCATGGATTGACTTTAGTGTAACTCTTATGGGCTCCTTTGTTATCATTTTGCCAATATTGCCCTCATCATATGGAGGAATACCACTCTAAATTGGCAATTTTTATTTTCTTACAAATTTGTTGGATTGTTCTATCAATGGTAGTTAGTTGTGCTGACATTATTATCATCACTTTTATAATCTTGCACACAAAAAATTGGGTGTGGGCCTCCCCTTTGGGTTGGAAGGTTGAATTAAATAAGTGGATAGGAGCTTGCTCAATATCATTAGCACTACCCTCTAATATCATATTTATTATACTAACATTTTAATGGGATATAATGGGGAGTACAAAGATGTAATGAATCGATAAACAATCACGTGTCTCTTCATTCATCGTTCATATATTGTCCTTGTTCTTCCATCTAATCCTCTATAGTACGAGGCACGCTTGAAAACTAATTGGATGTGAGTAGGAGGAATGAACTCTTAGGAAACTATACTAATTACTAATAGACTAATGATCTATGCTCTAGTATTTTTATTGGGAAGATGTGAATCTAAGAGTCCTTGACATCATCATTCTAAAACTAAAGGAGCAATACACTAAACTCCTATGGCCGAGAACTACCATGAACAATTGAGGGAAGCTGATATGAGACTAACTTGTGTCTTGTGTTTGCGAGAAGAACCTATTGATTGGATGTGAGTGTTGATTAAATTATTATTATCATGAAGGTCTTGCTGGTGATCGAAATGAAAAAAAATAATTTCCCTTCATGAACCTATGAGAAGAGCCCATAGGCCTTGTGTAAAGTGAGGTGAATCATATTTTTATTTGTCACCCTGATTAAATAATAAGAACAAACATATGCATGTCAATGTTTTATTAGTGGGAGCTAAAGTGATGTCTCCCAAGGGCAAATCTCGAGAAGCCCTCTTGAGAGAACTTCTTAGAAATATTTCTCATGATGTCCTTTCAGGCATTATCTCAAGATCCTCTCAGCCTATCTAATGAAGTCTTCTAACTCTCTCAATGTATACTTTTTCTCACACCAAAATATTCTACCAAAGGCTTCAAATTCTTCTAAAGCATACTTCTTATATAGATCGCAATTATCATTTATTACATATCCTATAATATTCACCATATTTAGATAGCCATGCGTGTTTAATGTGGTGCACCACTATCCATGTTAAATATTGTACTCGTGAACATCAATCAATGTTATTTTGGAGAGTTGTCACATAGATATGCCTAAATCCTATATTCCATTCTTGGTATATGAAAAGACTTTATCTCATGGTATATGAAAGGATATTCCGAATTGACACCCCTGTAAGGATATATAATTATATTTCTTCTTTTTTATGTAATTTCTCTATTATAATTCTCTTATTTATTTATATTATCCCTCATCACAATCTAGGTCTTATTATAGATGATTTAATCATATAAGGGTTATGAATCCTGATAAAATTGATGAAGACTTGTAAGTATTCTCAAAATACTCACAAGATGGGGACTTTCAAATCTATAAATTCTACCGAAATAAATTCAGCGATGAATTGATAATAATTTTTATGAGCGGCATTTTAGTTTTAAGTTGAAATATTTCTCTCAAATATCAATAATGAATGGCAAGAATTAACTCTTCCAAAATTAACATATGAGCAGACGATATTGTCACATGAATAAAGTAGTTAGCCCACCTAGCTATATTAAGGTTGATTCAAGTAAGTAAACCTAATTCAATGATGAACACTACCACCAATATCTCTAATCATAACTTAAATATGACATATCATAAACAATAATCCCACAAGCACCCCATTGGTGTTGGATTGAAGCATAATATAGAAATAATTTCAAACAAATTTGTTATCTCAAAACTTTTTTTTCATCTTTTTGTTTTCATTGGAACTTATTTTTAGTTTTATAAAAGTCTTGTTGATCTTAAACATTAATTATAACAATAATTTAAGTCCAATTGCCTTCATAACTTGACCAATTCACAATACCAACATATATCCCCTCTCCTTAGAAAAAAAAAAGCCAACATGCCAACCACTAAGCCAAGAATTTTGAAAGATTCGCACAATAAACTACCAAAACTTCCACAAAATCAAATAATTTATTTGATAAATAAGCAATACTTTGACTCTTTCTGTTCCATGGTGGCTTTACCAACCCAACTAAACAATTTTTATTACATCCATACCCCATAGGCCATATCTTTCTGTCGAATATTTCCTCTTTCCCGGCCCTGTTTGTCAATATTTATGACATTTTCTTCCTCTGTCGACTGAGTTGATCGCATTAAATGCGTTGACTCGTCAGAGAGATCGGATGGATGAGGCCCTGAGCAGCATCCACGTTACTTAGTCAATTTCAATGGAAAGTCTATTCATTGGTTGGGAGATTTGTCTGATCAAAGGTGCGTTAGTGTGACTTTTTTAGGGCTCAAGATTTTCAAAGTTTTGAAAATGAAAGAATAAATAAATATTCAGTGAGCCACAGCTTGAGCACTTGTTTTGTTAGTTAGGAGTTTTGACTATCAACTAAGAGATTTTGTGCAAGAGATGCGTGTGTGAATTTATCTTAATTGACCTGAATATCCCTCCACCTAAAAAAGCCACAACTTGACCTTCGCCTTATGAGCTAAATTCAATGAGCTAGTGAGTTAGGTTTGTGTTAGTACTGACTCGACATGTTTATTATTAAGCTGGCTTACTTTTAAAAATTGATATGAAATATACTTAAAATATATGAAATTATTAAGATTTTTTAAAATTATATATCATTTTTTCTTGTACAGTAGTTTTTAATAATTTCTTATTATTTTTATCATTTTATTATAAATTTGCTTTAATAAAAAAAAATTACTATCTTTTTTAATAAATAAGCTGGCTCATGAGATGATTTGAACTCAGAGAATTGAGTTGGAGCTCTAATTAGAACTTGATTAATTAATCAAATTTAAGATCAAACTGATAGTGGCTTGAGATTGAGGTTGTAATATCAAAATCTGCTCCAGGATCGTCCAGGACGATCCCTCGTCCTGGGACGATCAGTTGAGAATTTGCTCTAGAATTTGTCCAGATTTTCTCCAGGTGGTTTTTCTGTAGGCATCGTCCGGGCCGATAAAGACATCGTCCAGGCCGATTTGCACTGTTCAAAATATCGGCCTGAAAATAGTTCTGGGAACCGTCCAGGACGATCAAATTTGGTCTGATCGTCCCGGGATGATCTGTTGATCGGCCGGGCCGATCTGAGTATTATAAAACTGAAATCAGTCGTTTTGAAGAGAGAGAAAATCAAAAATAAAAATATTTGATTTTTGAGGAGAGAGAAAGTCAAGAACTTTTTGGGAAAAGTTAATTTTCGGGCGACGCGAAGCCGTTTTTGTCCGACGAGACTGTTCGAGATATTGTTGTACGCAAGGTAAGGCACATTCCGCCTTTCTCAATTTTCAGAACCGTCGTATTTGGCGGTATTTTCTGTCCGGATTTTGTTTCTGTTAGTGGTTTTCGTCTGTATCTTTCGATTGGTTCAGTTTTTACCGCGTAACTTTATGTATGTTGTTGACGTGCCGAGTGTGCACATTTTGGTTATTTTCTGAAGATTTTTGTCCGGGTATTTTTGATTCGACAGGGTTTTATTTCGACTGGATTTTTCTGTGTGGTCAAAAATTGTCGGTGCAGTAGAATAAATGTTCTGAAATGTTGTTATCTATATTCTGTGCAAATTTGGCATTTTGTATTTTCAGGAAAAATTGTGTAAATTCCGTATACTGTCATTGTGCTGCCCGATTTTTGTCTGATTTCTGATTTGTCCGGATTTCTTCTGAATTGATATGCTATTTGTATATGCTATAAAAAGGGAGTTATAAGGGGCCTGAATCCTAAGCGATTCAGTCAGTGTCTGGGAAATCTGAAATGAGCTCAATCTGAAATCTGATATCTGTTCTGTTCCGGATCCGATGAATTCTGTCCTGGTGCTATAAGCACGTCTGTTCTGGTGCCGTGAGCACAAAGGGAGGCGTAAGGGGCCAGAATCCGAGAGATTCTGTCAGTGTCAGGGAATCCGTTCTGTTATCTGTTATGTGTTAAATTATATGTATGATTTGATCTGATCTGTATGATTTGATCTGATCTGTATGATATGATCTGAATTTCTGATTCTTCTGATTTGATATGATTCTGATATGATTCTGATACGATTCTGTTCTGTTCCGATATGATTTGAATTCTGATTTCTGTACGATTCTGATTTTGTTGATTTGATATGTCTGATCTGTTCTGTTTCTGATTTGATACGACTTCTGTTTCCGTACAGTTCTGTTTGATTTGATATTTGTTCAGTTCAGTTCTGTCTGATTTGATCTGTCCGTATCTGTTCAGATTTGATCTGTTTCGTTCTAATCTGTCCGATTCTGTTCTGATTTCTGTAAGGATTGCTGTCTGATGTGTTGGTTTTGGATTCTGAGAGTTTATATTGGAGGTTTGTTGCTTTGCTGAGCTGTTGAGCTCACTCTTGTTTTTTGGTGGTTTTCAGGTTCTGGGAAAGGGAAGGAAGTCCAGGAATAGATTTCAGAGTCTGATCAGTATAGGTATTTTGTACCCTTTTGATTTTTGTACAGTCATGGCTTTTCTGCTCTGTTTCTTTCTGTCTGAGCCATGTACTGTATCTGTAGATGATTGTTTTGAGGAAAAGAAAAATATAGATGTTTTGTTCCGCTGCATTTGATGATTCATAGTAGCTCTGTGTCTGTGTGTCTGTTTGAGTTAAATTATTTGGAAGATTCAGTTCCGAACCAAATTCCATAACCAGATCCTGGTCAGTAAGTCAGTTCGTTCCGTTCCGGTCGCGACCCGGTGCGAGCGGGATCCGTCCCGGATCGGGTCGGGTCGTGACAGAGGTTTTGTTTGAGATAGCTTTCTTACTGCTTTTTTGAAACGATTTTTTAGTTCAAAAAAATCGAAATCAAGAAATTTTTGTGCTAGCAAGTTGTTTCGGAAAGCAAGAAAAAAATTGTCCCAAAAAAAATCTGAATTGACTAATTCATATACAAGGGTTTGCATTTAGTCAGTTTAAAATTATAATCAATACACAGCTCATCTTGGTCTATTAGCAGGGTGCTTAGGCTACTAACTAAGAGGTATTGGGTTCGAGTCTTGTGTATACGATATGTGTGTGAGTCTATTTTAATTGACTTAAATATCCCAAAAGTATTATTGAAAAAATTATAATCAATAATCAAATTGATTCTTTAACAATTGAATCAAACAAATAAAATAATTTTTTTTGTTTTTATTCAAACGACACACATCCCTTATCACACTCATAATCAGATCTATAGCATTCCTCAAAGAGAGGGTATTATTGGAATTATGACTCCCGGGTTGGCCTACTTAAAGTGTAGAAAGGACTGATCAAAAGAATAGGATTCTCTGCTTCACAAAACTTCTCCTTCTCTCTTTTCCCACTGCTGAGAGAAGCAATCATGGCTTCTTTCGTCAAAGTAGGATTGTTGCTAGTTGTAGTGGTCGTCTTCGCCGGGCTGAATCTGTCGGCGGCGAAGATCTACACCGTCGGCGACTCGATCGGTTGGACGATACTGAATAGCCCCAACTACACAGCTTGGGCTGCTGGGAAGCCCTTCCGTGAGGGTGACACCGTCTGTAAGTTGTAATTCTTCACCCATATTCCTCTTCAAATTAACAGCATGAATTGCCTATCAAATTTGTTGTTGTTGAGAAATAACATGTTACAGTAGCAGTATTTTTTTTTTTTTTTTTTTTTAACCTGTGAGCATCAATAACCTTGAGGTTTTTGATTTTTTTCAAACTAATTTTGTGATTTATTTTCTTTTAACTAGTTAATTTTAATTTCTTATATTCATTTTACTTGAGTCAACTTAAATAGTTTGCTATATAAAATGTCGGCCTTCTGATGACTCAATTAGGAGAGCAGCTATATTAGATCTGACCTGCAGTAGAGGTAGTCCTAAAAAGACTTGGTAAGAAAATATTAGAAATTATCTTTTTTTTTTTCTTATTAGATTTAAATAAGAATTTGACTCTACACAATGAAGAAAAAAAATTTATATAGTGAAGGTTTGATGTTGTTGTTGTAGCATATTCATTTTACTCTTGTGATTTTTTTATTTTTTAGAATATTTAGTTATGTCCCAATTATTTAGAGTCGGTTTGGATGCTCTTTTAATTTGTTATAAACTGACTAAATTATAATATAAGTTTATTTTCTTTTTATATTATTCTTAATAGTTATTCTTATGCTTATGAAAATGAAAGTAGATAGGCTCATTTTTTAAATATGTTTCACAGTTTCCTTAAACATGTTTGGTTTAGTTGAAATAAAAAAATAAGAATGCTTAGATTTGATTCCAAATAAATTTAAGCTTTGTTTGGAACAGATTTCTTATCACTTTCTAAAGCACTTTTTAGCATAAAAATTTTTTAATTAAAAATTTTTATGGTAAATAATTGCTTTAAGAAGCAGTAAAAAAGCCGTCCCAAATGAAGTCATAACCACTTAGAAATATAATTAGATAATTATTGATGCTATGGGAGGTTAAACGCTCTCTAAATTTTGTGTGTTTTGAGGCCAAATGAAATATCAATGAGATGAATATCAAATGGGCGTAGTTTAAATTGACTAATTCTAAGTTCGTTAAGATTATAAGATGTACCAAAAATATATAACGATTAGGGGACCTATTGTGACGATCCAATAAAACATTCGTTATATATCTACCCGTCATCATCTAATGCTAGTCGTTTTTCGAAATTCTAAATAGACACACTTCATCATTATTGTCTGGTGTCAATTGTCGGCCGATATCAATATCGAATATATGTTGTCAAAGCCTAAGGTCCCCATCAATTATCATTTGATGTCTACTATGACCAACACTCAATATTTATTAGCCATTCACATTCAATACATATCTTTACAATCATTCGATCTTCCCTCTTATAAATAAAGCGACCAAACTGATCACCAACCATCACCTAACTTTCTTCATCCTCCATTGATCATCGTTGGATGCTTAATTATCATTGACTAACGCCCGTCTACAATTAAACCTTCTCTTTTAGGCCACTAATCTCCTATTCTATCAAAAGAACAATCGAGTTGAATGGCTACCATTGCCTAACGTCTAACTTCTCGTGCTAACAATCTTCCAATACTTTTAAATACCGACGTTCGTTGTCCACCATCAACTAATATTTAATACTCGTCTTTCTAGTCAATAAGTCTCCACTTTTGTTATGAGCATGATGAAGGTTTCGTTTTGGATGACTTTTTTATTGTTTCGTAAAGCAACTTTTTAGTTAAATTTTTTGAACTAGAAAACTGTTTTAAGAAAGCATGAAAAATGCCATCCCAAACGAAGACTAAGGCGCTACCACTCAGTTTCACCTAATATATTTGTTGCTCAACTTTTTTTAAAGATTTTAATATATAAAATTGTATCTTATATGTGAATTACTTTCTTAATGTTTCTTAAAATAATTTTAATTTTTATATAAAAAATTATTTTTAAAAAATAGTAAAAAAACCGTCTCTAGCAAAGCCTTAGTATGTTGGTTGAAAATTTTAGCTATCAATTAACATAAATATTCATTTCAAAAAAAATGGAAGAGAGACACTGGGGAATAGAGTGGGGCCCACCCAAAGTAAATATTACAGCCCGAATTTCACTTTTTTTTTGTTGGTTGAAAATTTTTGCTATGGATTCAAAAGTATTGAATTTGAGTCTTACATAGGAACAATTATTACGTCCTTTGACCGAATGGTTTTATAGGTTCGGCCACCAATAAATTTATGCCACGTAGCAGCCCGACGACCAGACCCAAACCCGCGGCTTTTTGGATATTTGACGTTTATATGAATTTATGGTTGAGGAGTAGAGTGGAGCCCACCCAAAATAAATATTACAGCTCGAATTTCACGGTGGGTAAGCACAGATGCTTCTTCAGTGGAGCCCACCACGACTAACCTGACATATGACGCTCTTTCATAAAATATCCTTCCTAATAGGTATAAAACCTTCCTAAAATGTTTAAAAAATTCAGACTTCTGAACATTTCAGACACATTTCCACGTAGGATTTTTTTTTAAATTTTCTTAAGAATTGCAATGCTCTTTACCTATTCGGAGCCCATGGCTGTAGAAATTATTTTGTGCGGAATTTGGACGCGAAGAATCATTCATATTGCTGTGTATTTATTGAATATTTGTTGGTTTTTTATAAATACTCAATAAATATGCAGTAAATCAACAAATACTTAGTAAATATTCATAAAATACTCAGTAAATACTCATAAAATGCTTAATAATACTCACAACTAAGTATTTGTCGAGTATTTGTAAATACCCAATAAATACTCGATAAATGTGCAGCAAATCCGAACAGTTCTCCCTCACTTGTCCTCTAACGCCTATCATCGAAGAATACCAACGGCCAACATCCAATGTTGTCCATAACTTGATGCCTATTGACGGCGCCGATGCAAGCTGCTAAATACCACCCAAATGCCCAATGTTCATTGTAGAAACAGCCAGCATTTGCCACCTTTTGTCATTGACATGGCCAATGGCTATCGCGAAATCTTTTTCAATATAATCTCATCTTCTCCAACCATGAGAAGGCGGACCATTGTATTCGTTGACTTAAACAAGTAGATTTCTTTTCAGGAGAGTTAGGCTCCATGATTTTTTTTTTTTCTTTTTAAGATTTCAAATGAAAATTACATTTCTTCGTGCCGCCCACATTAGCCTAGTAGTTGGGAGCTTTCGCTCATACCACTAAGGCCATATCTTAAAGGCCTTGGGTTTGCAAGTGCATATGTCAGTTTAAATTCTCTCGCAATCCAAAAAACGAAAATGTTACGCCTCATATGCATGCTAGTGTTTTTAAAAGTAGCTTTCTAGCACAAAATTCTTTAAAAACAACGAAAAAATGTTATCCAAATCAATTCCTAAATATTGACATAACATTGTTGCATAAAAGAATCACAAAGGGCATTTTAAGTTTTCTTTTGTCTGTGATAGTTGATGATCTATCATGATTTTGTCAAATACTTCACCATTTTATATTTTCTATTCTCTTTTTTTCCTACCTTTTTTCCATTCAAATGAAATCTTAGCTCAACTTCCCTCCAATATGCCATACCATATCTTGACTATGCAGATTTCAAATACAACAAACAATTCCACAATGTGTTAGAGGTATCAAAGGCAGACTACAATTCATGCAAAAGTAGCTCTCCTTCAGCAACTTACTCCACTGGCAATGATTCCATCACCATTAAAACCGCCGGCCACCACTATTTCATCTGTGGGATTCCCGGCCACTGTCAAATAGGCCAGAAGGTTGACATCTTCGTCGGAGGCGGCAAAGCTACTGCACCTGCCTCCTCTGCTGCCCCTTCTCCTTCTCTGTCGCCGGCTTTCATTCCAAGCACGGCCCCTTCGGCGAGCGCGGCACAGGCACCGAGCTCCGGTGCTCAATTGCCACTGGCATTGTCGACGATCATTGAGGTGGCGACCATGACGAGTGCTATTGTATTGATGGGGCTTTAGATAGTATGATTTTGCAGTTTATGTTTGGTTGTTTGTTTGTTATTGACAGAACCATTCAGAAATGAGTTTTAATCATCAATAGTTTGTGGTAAGTTTGTCTGTTATCACCTTAAAGAGATTGGTTTTTTCTATAGTTTAAGGAAAAGCTAAGTATTATGATGAGAAAATTTGTTAAATTTAGGAAAGGATTACTTGAAATGCTATTATTTCAGCTTTATAAATTGTCTTTCTAATTCTCAATCAAACAGCTAACTTTTTGTTTTTGAAACAGATTATTGATGAATATTTTTATTTTCATATTGATTTTGACTCATTTGGGCTCGGATTGAGTTGAATTTGGTGCCATTGAGTTTGTATTTTTGAGACGTTTGTTGAAATCGGAGTTGAGATGGTTCGGATTAATCTTTTGGATTTTCCTAATTGCTTTTGCATCGAGATTTGTGCCCTATCAAGATAATTTTTTGATGATATATCATGTGTAAAAACAAAATTTCACATTCCAAACAAAAGGATGAATAAAATTCTTAAGAGGTTTCATACAAAATATACAAATGCCACTGAGCGCCCATTTGAGATGGTTGCAATATTTTGTAGAGGTGATTATAAAAATATTATGAAAAATTAACTTTTTTAAAAAAGTTGCAAACATTATGAATATATTAATTTTGGAAAAAAAAAAAAAACAGGTAACTATTTTCTTATAACTATCACAAAAACTTTTAAAAATAAAGAGAAAACAACAAGAAAATAATAACCAACTACGATTGTGATCAAAAAATCAAAACATGAAGAAAGCTATCTCAAACAAATACTAAAGTTTCGTTTGGAACAACTTTCTTACTACTTAAAATAACTTTTTAGTACAAAAGTTCTATTTTTTATACTAAAAAACTTATTTAAGAAGCAGTAAGAAAGCCATCCCAAACGAAACCTACAAGTCACCATATTTAAAATACAAAACTCCCGAAAGCAAACTTCTGAGTTTTCAACGAAGCTTGTTTCTAGAGATTAACATCAACCGCTTTCAAACACTTCTAAACAACCCAACCCATAATGAAAATGAAGTTTAAAAAGATGAATATGTCTCTGAATTAATACCTGATAAATCCTTTCACAAAAAGATTTTAACTTTCTAAAATAGCCAGGAGGAATTTCACATAGAATTAGTTTGTACAGCTCAAACAATGCGCACATCCATGACTCCTTTACTGCTATTGACAAGCTTGCAAAACAACACATCACCCTCCTTGAGCTCGTTGTCTTGGACAAAATGAAGCCATGATTTCCCCCCAAACCCAAAAGAGTTATTGATGCATTTGCAGCTCACAATCCACTGCTTTTGCTTTTGTTTACAAAGAATGATCTTCTTGGGTTTTGCATGAAAATGGTCAGATACAAAGCGAGCTGGAATTGCCTACATAAGCATACAAAACAGTTTGAAGTCGAGATTAGTTTCATAATTGTGATGAGAAATGAGCAAGAACAAATCGATAATGGTTATGGCAAGTTTCATGGATTGTAGCTAAGTAAACTTAAGAGAATTTAAATATCTTTATTGGTTTTGGTGGTGCATCTTTTTTCCCAACAAAAGAGCTTGGTTAATCTTGGGCTCCCAGTTGTCATTTGGCGTCCTGTGAAAACTCTCACCAATTCCAACAAATATTTCCTTCTTTGGGAAGCTTGACATTACTTATATGAAGATATATTCAATAGTATTTGTTGCGTCCTGAAATATTCACGGCGGTTGAGAAAATAAAAGTTTAACGCTTTAGTTTTATATGAAAATCCAGCACGCATACAAATAAAGAAAGAGGATATAGCGTTCACAAGACACATTAGAGTTTTTATGTGGAAAGTCCTGAAAAGGAGGAAAAATCACTAGGCATGACACAGTTTGAATGAATCCACTAGTGTTCGCAATCAATTACAAATGAGGCCTTTGCTTGGGGGGAAGGCTTTGGTTTGATGTAGTAAATATACATCATACAAAGTGCATTATATCGTAGGAGTTGGAAGAATCGGTGTTGACATGTTTGTTTGGGCGGCAAGATCATAGTCGGCGAGTGATGTAGGTCGTAAGGACCAAAGTCGGATGACGATGACTGGAATGACCGTAGTCTCACAACAGAGGTCAAAAATACCGTAGTCATGCAATGATGGTCAGAAGGATCGTAGTCGACAAGCGATGGAGATCAGGAGAACCGCAGTTGGTGATGGTAGTTGGAAGGACCATAGTTGGCAGGCGACGGAGGTCAAGATGACCCTAATTGGGCAACAATGGCCAGAAGGACCGTAGTCGGCAGGATATAGAGGTCAGAAGGACCGTAGTTGGTGATAGTGGTTGGAAGGAAGAACCATAGTCGACATAAGACGGTGGTTGGAAGGACTGTTGTTGAAGTCCGGCGATGACCGTGAAGAACTCCATCGATGGTCAACGAACGGAAGGAAATCATGAAGAACTCCGATGGTGGTCGACGAACGGGAGGAAGTCCAGCAGTGATCGGGAAAAACTTTAATGATGGTCGATGAACGGGAGGAGGTCCTGTAGTGGCCAGGAAGAACATTGATGGTGGTCGACGCGTGCAGAAGTCTGATAGTGGTCGGCAAACTGGAAGAAGTCCGACGATGGTTGGGAAACACTTCGACAGTCGTCGGCGGACAGGCGGAAGTCCAACGGTGGCCGACGGAAAGGCGGACGTTCGGTAGTGGTCGGCGAACTAGCGGAAGTCCATCGGTGGACAAGAAGAACTCTGGCTATGGTCGGCGGACAGGCATACAGGCAAAAGTCTGGTGGTGGTCGGCGGACATGCGGAAGTCCAGTGATGGTCAGGAAGAACTCCAGCGGTGGTCGGTGAACTAGAGGAAGTCTGGCTGTGGTTAGGACAACCTTTGGCCATGGTCGGCGGACCGATGGAAGTCCGACTGTGGTCAATTGATGGGCGAAAGTCCGGCGGTGATCGGGAAGAACTCCAGCGGCGGACGGGAGAAAGTTCGGCATTAGCCAGGAAAAACTTCGGTGTTGGTCGGCAGCAAGCATGCTCCCAAATTCTTCCATTCTCCAAATTATGGATTGAACCTTCCAAATGCGCTTTGGGTCTTTGATTTGGACTCATTTGGGTTCAAATTGAGTCGAATTTATTGTCGATGGATTCATCTTTCCGAGACATTCAATTTGACTAAAGTTTATTGTAATCAGAGTTTAGATGCTTCAGACTTTAATTTCGAAAGCTTACCACTCAATTTTGCCGCAAGATTCATGCTCAATTAAAATAATTTTTTGATGATATATTAGTATCAATATTGATAATTAAATTATTATACAATGATTTCAAATTAAATTAAAAATTTTGAAAAGAAAAATTATAGGCCACTTGTATGAGAAATTATTATGTGAGAACACCAAATTTTTCGAAGGCAAATCAGAATGCGCCACATCACCCTGTACACAACACAAGTACATGATAAAAAAGTGACATGGCACATCCTGATTCATCTCCGAACTACGCCCGGTGTCCGCATAGAATAATTTTTCTTTATAAGATGTGTTTTCAATTATAAGTTTTCTTTATTTTATAATTTATTTTCAAATAATAATAATCTTCAACAAAACATTGTTTAAAACCGTAAATCCTAATCCTATGCCTAGATAAAAAAAAAAAAGTCAAGAATATTTTAAAATAAAAAAGTTTGTGCGCCCATAGAAAAAAATTTTTTTGCTCTGCCACTCACTAATATAATATTAGAATTCTCAAGCTGTGAAGTTGCATAACCTAAACTTTTGTCCTCTGAAGCTTTATTGTGCTTTTTTTTTTCTTTTTCACATAAATTGGTAATACAATATAAGACACTATATCAGCACCAAAATGCAAAGAACCCCACAAGAAGATAAAATGAGAGAAGCAAAATTACAATAGAAAATATCTCTTATGTAAGCAAGATAAGATAAGGCACTCCAATCCGTAGTTAGCCATAATCAATCATCCATTTGGACGGATAATATTTGACAAAATTCTTAGCAGAAGACCACATACATTTCAGGCTTAGCGGTAAATATTAAGTGGTACTAGGAAATTAGGGTTTTTATCACATATAGTCATCAATTTGATGAATATTGATACATCGTCAAAAAATTATCTTGATTGGGCACGAATCTCGATGCAGAATCAAGTTGGAAACTTCAAAAATTAATTCGGAGACCATCTGAACTCCGATTTCAGCAAACTTACAGTCGAACTGAGCGTCTCGGAAATATGAATCCAACAACTCCAAATTCGACTCAATCCGAGCCCAAATGAGTCCAAATCAAGACACCGGTTGCACAGTTGGAAGAAGCTCGATAACACTGTTTGATTTACCCAAACGTGGATCTGATTTCTACAAACTTATACTCGAAATCGAACGGTTTTCTACGTAGAAACGAAAAATCCAACGAGCTCACAGATTAGCTGAATTCTGACATCTATAAGAGCCGTTCAAAAATGTCCAAACGAACGGATCAACGAGATCGAGGTTAGTCGATATTCCAGATCTAATTACTGAAGCCAGTAGCCATTTGACCACTCCCTAATTCGCCCACTATCTAGCCTATTTCCGGAGTCTGCCACTACATAAAAGTCTATAAATAGACCCTCAGTCTTCACAAAGGAAGTCAGAGCAAGCAGAAGGAAGAGAATAAAGTGAAGAGGAGAGAGAAGGAAGAAGCTCCCCCTCGACCACTTAACGCACAACCTCGCCGGAACGACCACCTGAGATCCTCACCCTCGCCGGCACCGCCGAACTTCGGGAACCACCTCGGAGCCTCGCGGACCCACCGCCAGAGCTTACGCCGCACCACCACCTCAAGGCCCCGACGTTCTGCCCGCAGCTGGCCCGACGTTCTCTGCACGCTCTGTAAGGCTGTTCTGGGCTCAAGCTCCGTGTCAGCGCTAGCTTAAAGGCGGATCGGCCCGAACGCTCTGCTACGGCCATTATCTGCTTAAGGCCCGACATTCTCCATCAAGGCCAACATTCTGCCAACTTCTGCCCGGACGTTTGCTGAAGGCCCGACGCTCTGCTCAAGGCCCGACGTTCTGCTGAAGGCCCGACGCTCTGCTCAAGGCCCGACATTCTGCTCAAGGCCCGACATTCTGCTCAAGGCCCGACGCTCTGCTCAAGGCCCGACATTCTGCTCAAGGCCCGACGCTCTGCTCAAGGCCTGACATTCTGCTCAAGGCCCGACATTCTGCTCAAGGCCCGACGTCCTGCCGAAGGCCCAACGTTCTGCTCAAGACCCTAAGTTCTGTTCAAGGCCAGACTACCAACTAACACTCGAACTTCCAGGTGACGCCGGGTCTAACACCAGACTTCTATCGAACAGTTACTAGTTGTAATCTGATCGTCCTTGGAGACGATTCAGCCCTTTGTAACCGACTCAAATTCTAGTGGAATCATTTTCAACTAGGCTATGCCTCATGGTTTTTCCCCCTTTTTAGGGATTTTCCACGTAAAAACTCTGGTGTCTCTTATCAATGTTTCACCCCCTCTTATCTGCTTGTGTACTGGATCTTCGTTCAATGTTAAGACGTTAAACTATATATTTCTCTACCGCCGCGAATATTCCAGGACGCAACAAATATGTATAATATTTTTGTGTTTTTATGTTTTAATCTTCTTTTCTATGTTCTATTATTTTATGCTCTCCTAGTTTCAAAAGAGTAAAGTTTCATTTGAAACAGCTTTCTTATCTTTTTCTAAAATAGTTTTTTGTACAAAATTTTTTGAACATGAATTTTTTTAATAAAAAATAACTTTAGAAAGCAATAAAAAAACTATCACAAACAAAGCCTAAGAACTGAGTCTTCACTACACATTAAACACCACAAACGGGTAAAAATTATTCTGTATTTCTACAGTATTGTGTTTTCTGTTTGTCTCAGAAACACAACGAAAACTTGAAGTTGCATCTCTTCTAATTTCAGGGCAAAAAATGAAAACAGTTGAGTATAATAAAAATTGAAGGAAGAAAGTCAGCCGGGTATTTGCCTGATAAGCTCTTGAACAATTCTTCTATAATCCGGTAACATAAAATCTTTTTGATTTCATATCTGAAGAACTCTACCTGGGTACAAACTATTGTCCAAGAAGATTTATTGAAGATTTTAGCAAAATACCTATGCAATTACATTATAATTTAATCATATAAATATGCTAGGAAATTATCTCAAAAACCTTTAATAAAAATATTAATAGGTTGAGTACTAATCCATTACTAAAAAATCGTTCTATGAAGTAAGATTTCATTTGGGACAATTTTTTTACTGTTTTTTAAAATGACTTTTTAGTATAAAGCGGCTATTTAGTACAAATTTTTAATTTTTATATTAGAAAACTACTTTAAAAAGCAGAAAGAAAATCGTCCCAAACGAAACATAACTTACTGCAGAAAACAGAGTTGTAGATAAGAGGCATACCATAAAAGATTGTCCACAGAGGTGGCTTTTCATCAGTACTTTGGCAAAGGAAGAATCAGCTGTTTCGTTTACATAGAAAGGCTTAAGCTTCTTGACTGCGTCTTCAGAATTTTCCCTCCCTTCTTTTGTTTTTGACTTTAAACGGCCATACAAACTGATATGTTTTTTATCAAAGCCTTGACAAATTTGGGAGGGCTTGACATCTTGATCTAAAGTTAGAATATGAAGAGAAAAGAAAAAAATTAGAAGGAACGTAAAGAAGGTCGATTGATTGAGTATTGAGAGTTTTCAAAGATAAGTAAAGAGAAGAGAGAAAAACGTTAGTGAAGTAATTTATTGATCTCCTAAAAGGAAAGTAAATAAATAAGAATTCCCTAAATTCTGATAGAACCCAAACTATGATTATTCTAGTAAAAGAAATTCAACTTGTCTTTATTTCTTTGTATTTCTTTGAGGACAGAGATATATTCTTCTTCTTTTTCTCATTTAGGATTTATTTTACACTGGTACTGTATTTTATAAAGTTAGCTGTGAAATTATAAGTTAGAAAGCAACTTCCCTACTAAGGTTATAGAAAGCAGCTTTCCATCATACAAATTCTTAAGAAATAGAGAGAAAAAAAAAATGTAGAAGCCAAATGAAATTATAGCTTTTGTCTGAAAAATAAAACAGCTAGATAGTTGTCTCAAATAGACCCTTTTTTTTGCCCTTCCATTGCATCCCAGTAAGGGGAAATTATTTTGTGCGATCACTGGATCGGACGCCATCTGGAGGCGAATCAAGACGTGCCACATCACTTTTTTGATGCGTACTGATGTTGTGTACTGCTATGTATCGGGTGATATGTTATATCCTGATTCGCCTCCAGACGGTCCGGTGACTGCACAGAATAATTTCCCCCAAGTCAGAGGTTGCACTTTAAATAAGTAATAAGTAATCAAAAGTTGCTCTATCCAGATAGGAACTCCAACAATTCAGCTGAACTATGTTGGATGTCACAACGAGCTATATTTTCACATGTTAGCAAAAGCTACAAAAAGAAAGTTTAAAGGTAGAACTTATTTTTAAGCAACATTATTTGTTCTATTTAGATAGCAAATTCAACATTGCTCATCGAAAAGATCAGAATTGGGCTAAATAAATGACAATACCTCAAAATAAGGGAAAAACTGCAAAAAAGTGGAGATATTTAGGATTAAAGGAGAACCCACCTGATCTTTCTCTATGTTTTCTCTTACAATAAGATACTTCATCAGAAAAGCTTCCATCTGAAGAATTGTTGTTTGGTATCTCTTGCTCCGGCTTATAATCATAGTAAGCTAGGCTTGAAGAATGATAGATTTTGAATGTGGAAGATCGAGACCTTTTCAAATTTGGTGCTGCCACATCCATTCTATGCCTCCTTTGGTAAACCTTGTAAGCTTTATTCTTATTGTATCTAGTGAAGTTAGTAGTATCTCTAAAACAGCCAGTTTGGTCAAAAATTTTAACAGTAAAGGTTGAATTCCCAGCATACTTGAAAAATAGAGAATAATGTTCCTTTATACCGTTGGCAACAATAAACTCTTTCCAACCATCTTTAAGATAGAAGTGATTTTCTTCCTTAAACAAGCAAATTTTCCACAAATCTCCATTTGAAACTTTTAAAGTGATCAAATCAGGTAGATCGACTCTGAATTTCCATGCAAATTTATTTGGAAACTCCTGTAATCATATGCACATATGAGAATGTCATGACTGTTATTAAACTTGATTTACATTGAAACAATTAAGCATTCAAGATGACTGTGTTTCAGCTAAAAAAAAGGCTTATTGTGCAGCATGCCTAACATATGAAATATTTAATCACAACTAACAAAATATGATTTCTCCATTTCGCAGCAACAAATCAATCGGTTTATCAAAAAAGCCTTGTTTTTAGGGCATCTATAACCGAAAATCCCATTTTTCACTCCAAAATACAGTGAAACTCAAAAATGTCGTGATTCATCTCCAATCGAACTCCATTTTGCGCGTTTCTGCAAAGGTAACCGTCTTTCTCCTCTTTCGTACGTTTCTTCAACAAATCTGGTTGAAACAGAAAAATCGCGCACGTTTCTTCAACAAATCCGGTTGAGACAGAAAAATCTGCGAAGGTAATCATCTTTCTCCTCTTTCCCACATTTTTTTCGCACGTTTCTTCGGAAAATCCGGTTGAGACATAAAACTGTTGCCAACATTGGCGTCGCACTGTTCACCCTCCACCGATAGGAGATTTTTCGACATTCGAATGGAGCAAACCAGCTATGTCTTACAGTCATTTGGAGTACAGTTGGAGATGCCTTTATAAAAAATGATTGAATGCAAAGATATTGGCAAGAGTTTTTTTTTCCTTTCATGTGGATTTCGTGAAAAGGTTGGAGTAGCTCCAGTGGAAGATAAGATTAGAGAGAGTCATCTTAGATGGCTTGGTCACATTAATCGGAGGCCTTCCGATGACCCGGTTAGAAAAGTTGAGGTATTAGATTCGACTTATGTTAAGAAAGGTAGAGGTAGACCTAAAAGGACTTGGTTAGAAAATATTAGAAATGATTTTTCTTCATTACATTTAAATGAGAATTTGACTTTTAATCGGACATAATGACGAAAAAGAATTCATGTAGCCGACCTCACATAGTGGGACAAAAGCTTGATGTTGTTGTTGTTTCTTTCATGTGGATTTCGTGTGGAAGGTTACAATTTTGCACAGTTTTTCCCATATTGGAATTGCATTAGTATCAATACAAAGATATATAGAGCCAAATATGTCTAAATACCCAATATTTTTTTAGCTACATTTGATTTTGAACTTATTTTTTCTAACATTAGTAACTCATGCTTTTTACATAAATTGAAAAAAATTTCTGTGAAAACATCACTATATATTATGATGATATAATAACTTTATACGCGGAAAATATGAAAATACAGAAGGGACAAATGAAATATTTTTCTTGTGAAGGAAGCAAAATGCTAGATGTAAGATGAGAATTTAAAAAATAAGGGCTTTTGAGTGAAATTCTAAGACTAATATGGGAATGAGATGACACTACTGGTGTTAGTGTTAAGAATGTGAATTTCACGGTCTAAATAAGCCCAACACATCATTAGAGAACAATAATAAAACCAAGAGTTGACTTATTGTTTCAAGTGAACTAAGAACATCTCCAACCGAAAATCTCATTTTTCACTCCAAAATACAGTGAAACTTAAAAATGATATGATTCATCTCCAATGGAACTCCATTTTGCACATTTCTGCCAAGGTAACCGTCTTTCTCCTCTTTCGCGCGTTTCTTCGGCAAATACGGTTGAGAAAAAAAAAAATCACATAGGTGAACAGTGTCATGCCAATATTGGCGTCGCACTGTTCACCGGCAAGCAAATAGCGGAAGATTGGTGTTCGGCTGGAGCGATCGAACGAAGTCATTCACATGTTTAACCTTCAGTTGGAGATGCCCTTAACAAATAGGATAACACATAAATAAATTAGTATTATAGAACAGAAAAATAAGAAATCCAAATGCATGCATAATGATGTAGCAGACATGCTACTTAAGGTTGCATTTCTAAGACTCTCATTGACAAGCTTTAAAATCCAACAATTTGAAGAAGGAAGTAAAAAGATTGCAAGAGCTAGTTCATAATCTCTAAACATACCATGACTAGAGAGAAATCTCCTTCCATAAGCTTCATAAAGCAAAGACTTGTCTCCTCCAGATGGTTCCAATAATAATGCTCTTCAAATTTCTTACAGTTCCAGCATCCCCTTATCTCCATATCTGAAAACCCAGAAAAAGAGATTCAAGTAAACAAAAGAAAATGTAGCGGCAACCAGACTAAAATCATAAACTACTCCATGATCTCTTTATGTAAGAAGAACAAAAGAAACTTTTCTTACAGAATTTATATTATTTTTTTCCTCAACTACAAATATTCCTATCGAGTTAACAGGAATCCAAAAGAAGATCGAATCATGTAAGACATCCAGCTTCATTCAGATAAAGATAAAGACAGAATGGTGAACAAAGTTACAGACCTCTTTTATTTTCTCTTAAAAAAACAGTACCAGTTCGTCAACCTCCAAGGTTAGTGGTGGACCTGCAATTCGAATTTAAAAGCTTGGGAAGGGTTGATATATATGCTTTAATTATGCGTAATAAGTCTCTTATTGTGAGTTTCAAAAAAAAAAAAGTCTTGAGCTTCGAAGTTTTGTCATTTCACTGACAAGAAAATTTTACTTTGACAAGCAAAATTCATTGCATTTATCTCTGTTTTTTTCTTTATTTTTTTTTTCGAAACTAACATCTGAAGTCTACATTCTGAACATTTAATTTATTTAAGAAGAAAAAATCCAGATGGCCCAGTACTGGTGAATATACAGACTTCACCACAATTTACTTCAACACAATCCAAGTACTGACTAAAAAATCTAAGGGATATGACTTATTGTGACTGTCTTAGTCACCAGCTAGAAAATTTTTTAAAAAAAAAATTTTGAATAATATTTTTCATAGCTTTGAAATATTTGAGAAGTAAAAAATATTAATTGTTTTGAGTTGAATAAATGCCATTTGCTTGCTCTGATTTGCCATTGCCTCGTTCTTATTTGCCAATTCTATTCAAGAATAAATCTTGTAAATTAAAACGAGGAAATTGACAAGTGGCTTGGAAGTTCTTTATTGCAGTTGGTTCATTAATCGGCTTATTGTTAGTAAAATTAGAGCCAAATTTGTAGCAAAGAGAGTCAAATATCAATATAACAATTCCATAGAAGAGATTATTAAGAAAGTAACCTTAGATTACGTCCTAAGGAAGGTAACAACAAAATCAATCCCAAGTCAAGTCACATCTCCAAAAGGAGTCGAGGAACAGCAGATTAACAAGATTCAGACCAAACGTTAGTTAGCGGATGCTAAATCATAGTTAGCCACAAGGAGACAAGCTCTCAAGTCCCAAATGGTTTTCACACTATAAGAGAATCCTCGTTTAGCATAGGATTTTTCCAGCAGTTTTCTGGCGGACTAGTTTTCGGCAGTTTTCCGACATATCAAGATGAAATATTTTCAACTAATTTTCTGATAAATTTTTGACGGATTTTCTGACGGTTTTTAATAATTATATTTTAAATAAAAAAATGACTGTTTTAACACATTTGTCCTTCCCGCAATCCAGTTGGGTCTTTGAAGTTTTTTTGTAAGGAATTCAACTTCTATATTTTATTATAGATGTGCAACTATTTCTCAACATTCAAGTGTCTTTCAACCAAAAGGAAAAAACATACAATAGCTTGTTCTTAATTTCTAAAGCATACCATCTCATGGGAAAATTTTCCTTCCATAACCTTCATAAAGCGAAGACTCGTCTCCTCCAGATGATCCCAATAAAAATGCTCTTCAATTTTTTTGCAGTTCCAGCATGTCCCTGTCCCCATATCGGGAAACCCAAAAAAGAAATTCTAGCAAACAATAGAGAATGAAGCAAAATGGCGAGTACTTACTACTTTCAATGTACAGGTCTTCATATAAGAAGGCAAAAGAAAAAAATTTACATCATTTATAAAGTAATTTTTACCTTCAAATATTCCTGTTTAGTTCATACGGAAATCAAAAGATCGAATCATCGAAGACATTCAGTTCATTCAGATAAATAAAGATAAAATTAGAATGCTGGAAAAAGTTACAGACCTTCTTCACTTGTACGAACTCTTAGTTACAAGAGCAATACGATTTCGTCAACTTCGCAGGGCACTGGTGAACCTGGAATTTGATACTCGGAGGGTCTTCTCCTCTCTTTTCCTCGACCTTCTTTATAGCTCTATTCTTGGCGTCGCCCTGCGTCTCGTTCATTTCAGCCTGCTACGTTTGAAAGAGGGCTGCCCGGCATTTGCTTATCACCCTTATCCACTCCTCAACTCCCTCCAGCCGTGCCTTCACCTGTACAAAGCCCTCCTTGCAAGAGAACCAGGCCCCCCTCTCTCTCATCCTCCAACGCTCAGTCATCTACTCTTGGGGCTACACCCTAAAACCCTACCGCCTCAGGCCCTCAAAGGTTAGAAACCGCTGCCGGGCACCCCAGTGCCGCCGCCTCCGCGGGTTATCGCTTCAGATGACTTACTACTTGAAGCATCTCAAATGAAGCTAATTAAGCGGAGTTGCTCGCGGTTGCTTTTCCCATCCAAAAGAACATCCCTGCTTTCACGTGCTTCCCGCTGTTTGGAAGTATAAGAAATACGTCAATACCCTTACAGTTCCCGTCTTCCTCATCTGGAGAACTTCCGTTACCATTTCTTCCTCACGACGCTCATTCCTCTGATACATTGGAATCGTTCAGGTATTTCTCCAAATTTCTAGTTGTAAGAACTCGATGAGAGTGAAACATAGCTTCACCGACATTATTTGAGGAAGCTTTCTACATAATTATTTGCATACCCAGCCCCTACTTCTATCAGGTTCTCCGCCTGCTCCCTCCTCCTCCTAACCAGACCGGTTGAAGAGCTAAAGGTCCATCCCATCTTCTCGAGAATCTTACCGTCATTATCCGGAGGTAATTCCACCGAATATCGCCGCTTGGGCGTCGCCACTCATCTGCTGGCTGTGCGCAAAGCCTCTTGCTCCAAACAATTTCTCCCATTGTTTGTTCGTTTTTAGGTTTTCTATCGCCGGAATCAAATAAGTGGAGGGCCACTGAAGTAGATTCACCAGTGCTGAGAAAGAGGTAATCTTTTGATCTATTGATTTATCTGTAAACCTAATTTGATTCTCGTTGTACTGCCAGTTGCTTTTGCCCTCGGATTTGTTACGACATTTCTCTATTCCCTCATCTCAATGGTGCCAATTATTGATTTACAATTTGTTGTTGAATTGGATTTTATATTTTGTTCTACGGTTTTCTTAGGTTTTTGCTTAAAATTTGTTTTGGATTTTTTTTTTTTTTCCGGTTTGCTCTGATGTCATTATTGTGTTCAGCCCTTCAAAGAGAAGTCGAATGGCTCAAGGAAAATTTTTGAAGTTACTATTGATAAGCAGAACTGATATGCTTTAGAACTTATCCTGCTTTAGCCGTTTTGTGCAGCCACTACTCTGACTTGTCATACTTATGCTTGTACCTTTTTAATCCTCACCTCTACTTTACAACTGCTTAATCAAACGGCTCAGGTTGAGTTAGTTTTGATATATGTTGTAACAGGGTTTTCGGTACAAGGTCAATGAGAAACACTTTCTGCTATCTACCTTCTTCTTCCCGTTTTATCTTTCCCTGCAGGTTCAAAGCTCAAGAGAAGCTCCAGCCGATTCAAGTCTACATGGTATCAGAGCTCCCAGGTTCGGGTCGCTGAACTGAGTTGCTGATTTCTTCTGTCTGTTTTCAAAATGAGCTCAGCCGAATCTGGAACCAACGTCTCCTCTGTTTCTTCTAAAACTCCGGTAAAAATGAGCGAAGCAGTTATTCCGCCTCAACTCAAATTTCTGATGCTCAACATAAAATCTGTGTTGAACACTCAGTTAAACACAGATAATTATCTTATGTGGAAATCCCAAGTGTTAAAGCTTTTCACCGCCAATGGCTTTAACGGTTATCTGGACGGAACTACACCGAAGCCAGAAAAACACATCGTGAAGGAGACTGGTGAAATTGCTTCTAATCCTCATTATCAAACTTGGATCCTTATAGATCAAAATTTATCAGCTGCTTTGTATTCGACTGTTTCTGCAAATCTTCTGCCCTACATTTTAAATTTGGATTCCTGCGCTGATATTTGGCTCACGATTGAACGACGGCTGCAATCATCCAATCGTTCTAGAATGCTACAGTTAAAGAATGAATTACACCATATTTCTATGAAAGATAGAACGATGATGCAGTATCTTTCGGACATTAAGAGCAAGTGCGATGCCATTGCTTCTTCGGGTACGCCGTTGGATCCTGAAGATATTATAATGTATACGCTAAATGGATTGCCATCGGGCTATCAAGCGTTCAAAACTTACATTCGAGCGAGTCCTCAATCTATTAAGCTGGATGATTTTTATGCATTACTATGCAGTGAGGAAGTTAATCTCGCTGCTGAGGCGGCTCGTGAAACTCAATTACTTCCGTCCAGCGATTCACACGTTGCTTTGACAGCTTCTCGTGGTCGCGGTCGTTAAAATTTGATTAATTATTTATATATAATAAACATCACAAAATAAATTCAAATATTTTTAAATCAACCTTACCAAAATTTTATAGAAAATCCAACCTAAATTTTCTCAATTTTAAAAGTAAACGTAATTTAAACTCTATTTTGAAAAAAAGTAAGAAGAATTCATAATTTAAACAAAATTAAATATTATATTTCATTTTTTAAAAGTTAATATTATCATAAATTTTTATATAATTTAAATATTAGAATATAATGAATGTAAATATGGAAATTTTTGTTATTAAATACGTAAATAGAAAATAATTTTTGTTATGTTTGTAAATCGCCAAAAATCAAATACCAAAATCAGGTCGTGTTATATTAGGAACTTCACAGAGATCAGTGTTCGGGAGCTCTTGATAATGGCGTACCCACCGCAGTTTCACATGGCTCTCTCCTCCCCTCCCGCCTCCTCTCCACCAAACCTACCTCTTCCGACTATGCCGGAGATCATTGATTCCTCCCGGTCCCAAGGCCTCTGTCTCCGCCTCCACACCCTCGGTCCATTCTTCCGCGTAACAGCCGAAGGACTCACCGGAACAGAGCTCGGTAAAGCTGAGGGCTTTATCCATCCATGGTTTGGCGGAAAGGTTCTCCACCTCGACTCCATACGCATGAAGAGGGAGACGCTCGCCATGAAAAGGTCCATCTTTGGCCTCGGACTCTTCGTCGGCGCTGTGGCCATTCGCCATGGCTTCGACTGCGGTTGCCGCCGGGCCGAGCTCCTTGCCATTAATGATACTCCGGCGTTCCACTCTAGAGTAAGACGTGATAGGAATTTTTTCAGGTCGGAATTTCGTCGAACACCTTCTGTGCTAATTGGAAAATATTTTCAGCTGGTACGTTTCTATACAAGGATGGGTTTCAGGGCGGTGCACGAAGTGGATGGTTCGTCGATGGTGGACCTGGCTCACATGTTGGTATGGGGAGGACGAGGAACTCGGATGGATGCGGATATCGAAAATCTTTTGAGGAAATGGAGTAAGCGCCTCAAATCTTGAACTAATTTTTGTATGTTTTTTGTTAATAATATATTTTTGAAGTTGTAAGTATGACATTATTTTAAATCCAAGAAGGGTTATGCTATGCTCCAAATTTAATTATTTGAGTGAGTTTTTTATAAGAAATATGAGTGAGTTGACTGAGTTCGAGATTAATTAGCTGTCCATAGCCAATTTGTAACTAGACTTAGGATCTATTTGGGATAATAAAGTTTTGAGATGTCAACTATAATTTTCTTTGTCTACTTCTATTTTGACATTTTCTCTTTATTTTTTTTAAAATTTATGAGGTAGAAAACAATTTTTTATAGTCAGAATAGCTAGGTTGCTTTCTCCACTATAATTTCACAACAAATTCTATAAAAAGCTCTAGCTGTCTCAAAAAAAAAATCTTTCTTTTTTGGTAACGGGGTATCTACTCTCTACCACCTCAGCTTGGGAGGTGCTTGACGGAGTAATTAATCCCTCTGCTGACCTAGAAGAGGCACCCACTCCTACATAACCTCCTAGCCCGCACTTGTTGAGACCCCACTTAAGAGGCGCTGTCGCTCGAGGAGAATCGAACATGGGTTAGGGGTTCCCAACCATACTCGTCCACCAACCAAGCTAAGCATCGGTGGGTCCAAATAGACTCTTTTGTAGCAATAAAAGTTTTTTATAAAATATTTTGATCAAAAAGTGATTAGAATGGATTGCAAAGCTAGTAGATATGTTGTGTGTCAAATTTGCTTTAACTAATATGGACAAAGTGATATAGTGGTATAATGGTAAATGGTATGAAGTTTGCTTTTTTGACAGCTTATAGGCTGTGCTGAATTCCAACCCTCTGAAGAAAAAGCAGAGCTTTTGAGAACTGAAGCTGTAGTAAATTATGGATCAAAGCACCTATCGAAACAAAAACTCAAAATTAGAAACAACAAAAATATTTTCCGAGCTGCTACTGTGGGAGATGAGAATGAAAGAGCAGCTTGTATGAGACTGGATCTTTCTTTAAGGCCTTGCTTTCCAAATAAATTCACACAGCTTATGCTCGTTGCTTATATAGATCAACAACAATGATAAAACAAACTCTCACTGTGATCTATTTTTTAATTGATCCACCTAAACAAAATTGAATATCTCTATTTTTAATATGAAGTTTGGAAAGAAAAGCATTGCTTTCTCAGAAATTAATCTTCCAGTCAAACGTATGAGTCCAAAGTGATGCCGGCAATACCTGCAATCAACGAATGGACAAGAAGGAACAAGCAAGATAGAACTCCAGGTTCCCTTGGAGCTGATAGTATTGATTAAAATGCCAAGCTGCCTACCTTCATACAACTCTGGCTAATATATGCCAGCCATTGCTAAAACTAACGTGTCCATTAAAAAGGACATTCTGCTGCTATGTAACTAACTAAAGCAAAAAGGATAGTGGAAACGAAATCGAAATAACAGAACAGCTAATAAGTATTAAAAGGAGGTAAACTACTCCCTGGAACTGGATAAGCCGGGTATGCACCGCATCATTCGCCCCCACTAGAAATACAAGCTGTACCAACAGGTTGATTGTGATTGTCAAGTTCATCCGGCGGGTGGTATTCATATATGTCGTTGACGTTGAATGTGCGAGATGTGTTGAAGTCAGCTGGTAACTCAACTGTGTAAGCATTATCATTAATTTTACTGATAATAGGAAAGGGCCCCCATTTTTTCTTTCCCAATTTTGAATATGCTCCCACAGGCAGACGTTCACGTTTCATCCTTACAAGAACCAAGTCACCTGGCTGAAAAAGTTTCTCCCGCCTATGGACATCAGCGTCCAGTTTATATTTGGAGTTGGTTTCTTGCAATTTTAAGCGAATATTGGATAGAAATTCTGCATAATTCTCCACCAAAGAAGCGGCGGATTTGCTTTTGCAATTCGGGAGGGCTGCAATATCAAGAACTGTATTGGGTGTTTTGGTATAAACAATGCTAAAGGGACACATACCAGTGGACCGGTTGATCATTGAATTGAATGCGAATTCAGCATGACTAAGAAGTTCGTCCCATAGTTTAGGATTCTCTTGAACCAGGCAGCGCAATAAATTGCCCAAGGTGCGGTTCACTACTTCAGTTTGGCCGTCGGTTTGCGGGTGGTAGGACGAACTAAGTTGGACTTGAGTATGCAAGCGTTTCCAAAGCTCCCTCCAAAAATGGCTAATAAATTTGACGTCCCGGTCGGAAGTGAGACTACGGGGAATGCCATGTAAGCGTACAATTTCTTTGAAGAAAAGTTTGGCAATGTTGAGAGCATCAAATGTTTTTTTACACGCAATGAAATGCGCCATTTTAGAGAACCGGTCGACTACTACCATAATCGAGTCGTTACCATGTTTGGTTCGCGGTAAGCCTAATATAAAATCTAGGCTTAAATCCTCCCATATTGACGCGGGCACTGGTAACGGTTGATAAAGTCCAGTGTTTTGACCGCCTCCCTTGTATGATTGACAAATGGAACATCTTTCGACAAATTTGGAGACATCTCGTCTTAAGTGAGGCCAAAAAAAACGTTGTTGTAGCTGGGCAATAGTGTTATCCCGTCCCATGTGTGCAGCAAGACCACCGGCATGGGTTTCTTTGATGAAATGTTGCCGCCATGACGAAGAGGGCACGCATAATAAATGGCCTTTGAATAAGAAGCCATGGCGAATTGAATAATCAGCAACTGGTTCGTGATTGCAGCACTTAGCCCACGGTCCTTTAAAATATTCATCTTCAGGATACAGCTCGATTAAGCTAGCTAAACCGTTGAATTCAGTTTGTAGCTGGGTAATGGTAAGAGCTCGCCGACTTAGTGCATCAGCTACGGTATTTTGTGCACCACTTTTGTGTTGAATTACAAAAGTGAATCGCTGCAGAAAAATAATCCAGCGCGCGTGCATACGGTTGATATTTTTCTGGGAGTTAATGTATTGTAATGCCTTGTGATCGCTACGAATTACAAAATCTTGATGTAATAAGTAGTGCTCCCACTGCTTCAACGCTCGAACTATTGCATACAGCTCCTGTTCGTAGACCGTCCATTTTTGACGAGAAGGGCTCAGTTTTTCACTAAAAAATTCAACTGGTTTCTGACCTTGGGATAATACTGCTCCAATTCCAATAGTAGAGGCGTCAGTGTCGACAGTGAATGGCTTGCTAAAATCGGGCAAGATCAAAACAGGGGCTGTAGTTAACGCCAGTTTAATCGCATTGAAGCTCTGTTGTTGCTCCTCAGTCCAGAGAAACTGCGGTCTTTTGAGAACATCCGTAATTGGCGCCATTATGCTACTGAAGCCACGGATAAATTTGCGGTAAAAATTAGCCAAGCCGTGAAAACTTCGTATATCGGTTAAACACTGGGGAATCGGCCATTCTTGTATTGCTGTTACCTTTTTTGGGTCAACCCGAATTCCTTCTGCTGAAATTATAAAGCCCAGGAAGCCAACCTCGGTTGTTGCGAACTGGCATTTGGGGAGATTCAAGTAGAGCTTGTTTGTTCTTAGAGTGGCGAGTAAATTCTTTAGATGTTGTAGATGGTCTTCTCTGTTTGCACTGAATAACAGAATGTCGTCGAAATAGACAACGCAACATATGTTCAAGAATGGCTTGAGCACCTCATTCATAAGCCGCATGAAGGTCGCCGGTGCATTGCACAATCCGAATGGCATAACTTTCCATTCGTATAGCCCTTGGCGGGTTTTGAATGCCGTTTTCCATTCGTCACCACTACGAATGCGAATTTGGTGGTACCCGCTGCGTAAATCCAATTTTGAAAATATGGTTGCTCCGGCAACTCTGTCTAGCATGTCTTCAATTCTCGGCATTGGAAACCGAAATTTCACTGTGATCCGATTGATCGATCTGCTGTCCATGCACATCCTCCATGTGCCGTCTTTCTTGGGCACGAGCAAGGCCGGCACGGCACACGGACTCACACTCGGTTGAATCAAGTTCTTGGACAGTAGATCATCAACAATTTGTTGAAGAGCTTGGTGTTCATTTGGGCTCATTTTGTAATGGGGTACATTAGGCAAGGACGCCCCAGGAAGCAGTTCAATCTGGTGCTGTACCGCCCGCATGGGCGGCAACTCATTCGGCAATTCAGGCGGGCACACATCTGCAAATTGTTGTAGTAGCTTACTGACTTCCGGTGGTAATTCTGAAAGCTCAGTGTGATGGTTAGGCTCTTGCACAATTAAGAACAGCATCTGGTGATTTTCACGCCAAAGATTAAGCATTGTCTTTGCAGTAACTACGGTCAACGCCGTTTTTGTATTTGGTTTGCTCACTTCAGGATCGGATGTTCGAGGCAATAACCGCAATTTTTTTCCTTTCCAGTCGAAGGAATAGGTGTTAGCCCTACAGTCATAAGTAGTTCCCACATCAAATTGCCATGGACGGCCCAAGATAAGATGACAAACATCCATATCAATTACGTCGCACAAGACTTCGCCAGCGTAGTGCCGACCAATTGAGAATGCCACTTTGCACAAATCCGTTACAGCCAGTTCTACCCCTCTCTTTACCCAACTGATTTTGTATGGGCTCGGATTTTTGGATGTCTTCAGTTGAAGTGCCTGCACCACCGCACGAGAAATCACATTCTCGGTACAACCACTGTCTACTAACAGGTCGCAAACCTTTCCTTGGATTGTACATTTTGTTTTAAACAACGCATTCCTTTGCGAATTTGGGGTTTGTCTCGGCGCTAGGAGCAATTTTTGAAGGACACATATCACTGGTTCTCCTTCGTCAGCTACTACATCCTCCAATTCTTCTTCTCCGGTACATTCCCAATCTTCTTCTTCTTCCCCTTCTAGTAATTGCAGTTGTGGTCGAGTGGGGCATTCATTTGATTTATGTCCTTGCTGGAAACATCGAAAACATTTGATGTTAGGATTTTTAGCATAAGGATTATCTCTTACCGGAGCTCTGTTTCTTGGCTGTTGCTTGTTGTCTGGGCCTTTTGAGCTGTCTGCTGCTTGCGGGACTGGGTCCTTAGGAGTCGTCAACGGCTTACTGGATTGGCCTGGGTATTGTGTTGATGTCCTGCCGCCCTCAGTGTGATATTCAGAGGAGCGTCGCTGG